GCAGAGGCTTTGCGGGGCGGCCGGGGGGGGGGGGGGAAGCATTTTAAAATAGATTTCCAAATACCAAGTCAGGGTTAATAACAAAAAATATTAATTCAGGCTACCCAGAGAAACCCTTCCCGAGCAAAGACTTTGGACCGTGCCGCTGGCCCTCTGCCTGCCACCCCTCCTGGGCTCAGGGTTCACCACACCGAGGCCTCGGCGAAGCCCCCGCGAGGGAGGGCCTTGGCTCCCAGTTGGCCGCCTGCTCCCGGGCTGCTCCTCCAGGCCACGGAAGCCGCCTCCTTCGAAGGAACACACACCCCTCAAACCACACCCCCTCCAGACCAGAACTGTCCCGGCGAAAGAGGGATCGGTCTTCCCACTACAAACAAAACAAACACTTACCTTGAAACAGGCCAGCAATAACCGCAAGCAGTACGGCATGATGGCTGCACTGGTACACGGCCAGAGCTTCAGCTCTGCAGCTGCTTCTGAAACTGCAGGTGGGGGGGGGGAGGGAGGGAGGAGGAAAGGGAAGGCGAGGCTGGGTCACCACATCCCTGACTGTGACGAGAAACAAGGCCCAGAAGCCCCACTCTTGCTGCCCTGCAGCTCCCTGACCCCAGGGGGCCGTTCCCCGACAGGAGAGCCTTCCTAGCCCCAGGCCTTCAGCCGGAGGACCAGCAGCCTCTGCAGAGGGATCGCGCCGCCACCGCTTCCCTCCCACTGAGGCCCCCTGCCAAAGCAACAGAGCAGCTTGGCCAAAGACTGGCAGGGAGGACTTCCCAGGCGCCAGAGCGGAGGTCTCGCGTGAGCCCGGATCCTGCTCTTGGCTGGCCAGTTTCAAACAGCCCTTCCCAGACGAGGAAGGGAGCCGCCTCATCTCCAGGAAGCCACGTGGGACGGAGGAAGCCGAGAAGGCAAGGATGGACGACTGCTGCTGCTACTGCTACTGCCATTATACTTATAAACTGCCCTCCCCCAAAGGGCTCAGGGCAGTGCACACCACTATCAAACATACAGCAAATTTAAAAATACAATAAATAATTGTTGTTGTTATTGTTCAGTCGCACAGTCGAGTCCGACTCTTCGCGACTCCATGGACCAGATCACGCCAGGCCTTCCGGTCTTCCGCCGTCCTCTGAAGTTTGCTCAACTTCATGTTTGTTGCATCTATGACACTGTCTAACCATCTCATCCTTTGCCGTCCCCGTCTTCTTTGACCTTCAATCTTTCCCAGCATCAGGGTCTTCTCCAGTGAGTGCTCCCTTCTCATTGGGTGGCCAACGTATTTGAGCCTCAGTTTCATTATTTGGCCTTCCAGGGAACAGTCAGGGTTGATTTCTTTTAGGACGGACTGATTTGATCTCCTCGCAGTCCAAGGGACTCTCAAGAGTCTTCTCCAGCACCATAGTTCAAAATAATCTATTCTTCGGCAGCCATACATGACTACTGGGAATACCATTGCTTTGACCATGCGGACTTTTGTTGGCAGGGTGATGTCTCTACTTTTTATCATGCAGTCTAGGTTCGCCATCGCTTTCCTCCCAAGGAGTAGGCGTCTTTCAATTTCATGGCTGCTGTCACAGTCTGCGGTGATCTGGGATCCCAGGAACGTGAAATCTATCGCTACAGACTTAGTTACAGCTAAACTCAATAGCCGCTGGGGACCGCTGTCCTACAGCGTGTTTTGCTGACTGTCTGGGAACAGCAAGATGCTCCACCTGCTATAATGTAAAGACCTGGGTCATGAAATGCAATACCTTTTGGGTCACCTTCTTCAGGATAATTGGTTTGAGAGCAGATATATATTTATTGCAACTGTCCCCTATAGAGGCTTTCTGGTTCACAAGTCTTTATGTAAACCATGTAATATATGAGGTTCACTATTTGTTTCAATTAATTAGGGAATTTACCACTTGAAAATTCATTTGTTGTCCGCTCTGCAATCTGTCTTCTCATGGCGAAACTTTTTCAAAACAGGGCAATACACCAGATGCCTGTCCTTCCAATGGACTTAGGGTGGATTTTTAGCCTAGTGTTCATTAATCCTCGTGTGTATTTCTTCAGATAGCCTTTTTGTACATGTATTTAAGACATGTGAGCTGAATTCTGCCCTAATAATCACTACGCTCATTGCACAACACTGCCCTGAGGATTTTCTTTATTGGCTGAGAAGCTCAGCAAAAGGGGAAGGACTGTGCTCAGCATCTCAAAGGTAACAATGGGGTGGGGGGACATTCCTGAGTATCACCTCCCCCCAAGGACGATGGCAGCGAGAGAGAGGGCTCCCCCCCCCCAGAGCTGCCGAGGGCAGAGGAGCGCCTCCCGCCCAGGTCACGACTGCCCTGCAGTCAGGGCCTCCCACCGCCTCCTGGCTCTCACACCACGATCGGCACACTCCATCCTAAGTGCTGGTACAGCAACATGTGCTGCATCGGCACACTACAAGCTTCCATTGGTTTTATGCCACTTTAAACTGTCATGGCTGCCCCCAAAGACTCCTAGAGTTGCAGCAAGTCGGAGAAAATTTGCTGTTGAAGATTCCTGGTGCTGCAACCTGCATATGTCTGCCCTGCCGGCCACAAGACAATTCTCAAGACTCCCTGGAGAGCAGAGCACGGCCGCTAAACCCGCTTGAATGTGCAGCATTCCGTATTAGGTGCTGAGATCAGTCCACTGCAATGCACAACCCTGTAGGCACGAATGTAGGAGGACGGTCCTATTCTGGTCTCGTATTCAGTTTCTTCAGTCCTTCATATGTTTGTCGGTATCGCTGGATGCATATCCCCGGCAGCACATTTCCATCATCGGAGGGGTTCTACAGATGGGGCAGCACTGCAAGCAGAAGCCTGCCTCCGCCTCCGCAAGTCGGGAGCTGCTTGCCAGGCCTCCTCCCACCTCCTGGCTTAAAAACCACTTACTGATCTGATACCGGGGAGTCTGTGCTGCACACCAGCTGCACACCAGCAGAAAGAGCCTGCTAAAATCACACCGCAGAGAGGCCACAAACGCGGAGCCCTAGAAGGTCTGGCCCCTCCGGTCCAGCTGTCTGTTGCCCACAGAGGCTCGCCATACGCACCTCCCAAGCAAGCCCCTGCAAAGGCCGGGGGGGGGGGACGAGGGGGGGACGGCAGGCCCTCTTTTGCTCACCGGCAGTTCAGCAGCATATTCCCTCTGGCAAAAAACCCTCCACCCTCCAGGAGCTGCCTTCCTCCCCCTCCCCCCCCCGAATCTCTCTTTCCAGAGTGGGATGAGTAAGTTTCACCCACTTCTAAGAATGTATTTTGCCTCCCCCTCCCCTATACCGTGGATGTGCTTGATCTTCTCCAGTCCCTGCAAACCGAGGCCCAGAGAGCGCCATCCTGGTCAGCCGAGGGGGAGGGCTCCTTTCCAGAAGCGGCATTTTCGGCAAGACACTCCCTGCAAACATTTCGAGCACAGGTTTTAAAGGCTTTCCACCAACCAGTCCTTAACAGCACTTTACCTTTCCTGAATTTTGACTTCGATTTTGGCTGTTCCTCCTGGACTTTGGCCCCCTCTTGTATGGGAAGGGCCATGTAACACATCAGGTCGAGGACCTTTTCACAGGTGAACTACACAAGAAAAACAAGGAATCATTAAAAACTAGCAATGGCCTCGGGTGGGGCCGCGCTGAGGAGGGGCCCCCGTGCCGGGAAGAAGCAGCCGGCCTTCCCAGGGAACACACACGGACGGACGGGATGAGATCAGAAGGGGAGCTGCCCAGCTGCCGTCCGGGCCAGTCCGACCCGGCCTCCCCAGTCCAAGGACACCCCCTGCTTCCCTCACAACCCGTTCTTATGGAGGCCGCTGTTTCAGGGGGGGGGGACCATCTTTGGGGTCCCCCGTGGCAGCTCAGTTTAGGAGTGCCACAATCGGGGTCCAATCCTGGCCGGTGCTTCAGTGCAAGGGAGGAGAGGCTTCTGCCACACTCTGGATCCCACAAAACCAAACAAGGACCCACGGTAAGTAGGAAAACCAACAAACAACAAGTACCATGCACGGATGATTATAACATATCATAAATAATTTTATATTTTTTGAAAAATATTTTTACAATAATTTCTACATATATAATAAATCATCTTAATCAAAAATATCAAAAATCATCTCCAAGAATCTCAAAAGCTATTGTACAACCTTTAATAATAGTCCTCCTCTGTTAAATAAAAGTTTCAAAAGGGAGGACTCCTTAAAGTCTCTTTATAACCTGTGCTCGCTGGGATTTTAAAAGACAGCAGGGTGTTGGAACAACAATTAATTGCTAGAGGTTATCCTCGACACACTATCTGGGATTCCAGAGAGAGAGCCTTTAAAATGGATAGGAATTTATTGTTAAAGGATAAGATCAGAAGAGAGACGGGGAGAGGCGGTCCCTTAATTTTCCCATCTGGCAGGCCCTATAAAACATATTATTCTTCAAAATTGGCATTTAATTTCAGACCTGCCTGGTTGCCAGGATAAACCTATCATCTCTTATAGGAGATCTAAGAATCTAAAAAACATTTTGACAAAAACTGATGCTTTGAAGGTTAGACAGAGAAAGAAATCTTTACCTATAGGACGTCATAAATGTGGCAATTGTGCCGCCTGCTGTTTGTGTCTGGAAATTTCTGAATTTTCACATCCTAGCACAGGGAATTTTAAACTTTATAATTTCACTAACTGTAATACTAGACATTGTATTTATGGTTTGATTTGCCCTTGCCAGCTTTTATACATAGGATGTACAATGAGGCCTGTTAAAACAAGAATCCTGGAACATAAATCACGCCTTAAACATCAAGTGGCAGATGCCCCTTTCATTTCTCCTCCATGAAACATGCTCCAGAAGACTTAAGATTCTTTGTACTTAAAAAAATTATAAATCATTCTTATAATAGGGTGGATAGTAATAAACTTTTACATCAACAGGAGACACGTTATATTTCTTTATTTAATACCCTGGAACCTAATGGTTTAAATCAATATAATGACTTATCATGTTTTCTGTGAATTACTGCATGTATACTCCTTTAATGTAGGGACAGAGTCTCAAAAACTTATTTCTAATTCTCAAGCATGACTTTTGGTAGAGGACTATGTCCCTTTAATTAGCCACGCCTTTTGTGCTCTATAAAACTTTGCAAGGCTAAAGAGTGACTGAATGTGCTTTTCACTTTGGAGGAGGCTTGTAGCTCATCAAAAAATTTTTTGCAGCGTTCACTGAAGAGAACTTTGGATTAAAACTCTGGGTAAGGACTTTTCACTTCTTTGAGACTCTGTCTAATATGAGATTACTAGCATTGTAACCTATTCTGTTCTTGCTATCTTGTATGTTAGTATGTGGCAACTTTGTGCTGAAAATTATTGTTGAACTCCCTGAGGAAGATTCGGAAACAGAAGGATATCTGGACCTCTGTTGGAGGAAGACACGAGCACAGGTTATAAAGAGACTTTAAGGAGTCCTCCCTTTTGAAACTTTTATTTAACAGAGGAGGACTATTATTAAAGGTTGTACAATAGCTTTTGAGATTCTTGGAGATGATTTTTGATATTTTTGATTAAGATGATTTATTACATATGTAGAAATTATTGTAAAAATATTTTTCAAAAAATATAAAATTATTCATGATATGTTATAATCATCTGTGCACGACACTCTGGACCCCAAACAGAGAACCTCTTGGGCAGATGAGACACTCGGCCAGCTTTGAGGCTCCTCTGGACAGAAGCCTCGGGCTGCCTGCCTGAGACGGAGTCGCAGGAGCTCCCCTAAGCGCCTGGCCGGGGGGGGGGGGGGGGGGGGGGGCAGCAAAACCAAGGAAGGAAAGAGCCAAAGGAATATGTGCCAGAGTGGTCCCCCCTCCCCCCCTCCCCAGGAAGCTCTAAGGCAGAGGGGTCAGACTCATTTGTCACGAGGTCCGGCTCTGACATAAATGTCACTTTGTCGGGCCAGGCCATGTGTGCCATAAAACATAATGCCAGGTCCTGGAGTTAGAAGGTATATAGGACAGCAGCCGGTAAGCTCCGAGTTGGTGTATCCTCACTGCAAGGCCCCGTGGGCTGGGAGGGGGGCGCAAAGGAAAACCCACCTGGGTGGACTGGGCAGACACTCCTCTGCTGCTTGACTGCTGCAGATGAAGTTGTTCTGCCATGCTGAAGCCATGAGCAGTCTCCTGTTCCTTCCCTTGCACCAGCTGCTTGTGGGCCGCATAAAAGCCCTGGACGGCCGCTTCCGGCCCCCGGGCCTTATGTTTGACACCCCTGCTCTAATGGCGCCTCCCAAAGGAAAAGAGGAAGGCATAAAGTGGCCATTTCTTGCCCCAATCCGTAAACTCAGCTCAGTGTTGTCTGCCACCCGCCTCCTCCAACACAGCAAAGGGAATCCAGCACTGCAAGCCTGTTCAGTCTGGTCCAAGGAGGCGCGGCGGGAAGGCTTCCTTGCAGGTCATGGGGGCCTCCTGCGACTCCAAAAGCGAAGCACCCGGAGCCCCAGGAACTTGTCATGGGTCTCATGTAACAAAAGGGCGGAGGGGAGTGAGTTAGGAGGAAGGTTCAAAAAAAGTTGCTAAAACTACAAATCAAAAAAGTGGTTCCAGTTATTTTTATTAAAATGTTGGTAACCAGTAGTTACAACTACAAGGGTATTTTAAAAAGCGGCTCTAGTTAAACTACTGCATAGTAATAGCCGGCAGCCCTTTAGCTGGAAGACAACCACCCCCCCCCCCCCCCCCTTTGGGGGGGCCCCCCCCCCCCCCCCCCCTGACCACTGAGCCATGGTGGCTCCAGCAGCCGTGGCCACAGGCCCGGAAGGAAAGCCGAGAGACCCACAAGAGTGCAGCTACCTACCCGATACTCCCCGAGGGCAAAATGGCAGGTTGCCAGCTGGATCAGGGCTCGCTGGTTCTCGAGGGATCCTTGCCCGGGGATCTGCGGTGGCGAGTGAGACCCCTGCAGAGCTGCTAAGTGGTGCAAACTGGCGATGGCCTTTTTATACTGACCCTTTCAAAAAAAGGGGGGGAGGAGCAGAAAAGCCGAAAGAGCATTAATGAAAGAGCATTCATGTTCTAACAATTCTGCCTAGAAGGTCATTTTCCAAAACCAGGCAACAAACAAGCGGAGGCCTGCTGCTTCCGATGCGCCGGAGTTCGGAGCCTGGAGCACGGGGGGGCCCCTCCCAGCCACCCGTCAGCCTACAGACCAAGTGCTGCAAGAGAGCCTGAGAGAACAACAGACGCCTGTCCGGTCGACTGCTGGAGCGAGGACGGCTTTGAGAGTTCCTCTGCCGCTTCTCACCTGATAGACGATCATGTCTGTGAGGAAGATCCGCAGCCACAGCCAGGTGTCCGTCTTCCACGACACGCAAATCCTTGTGAATTCTGCAAAAGGTGGCAGGGGATGAGGGGAAAACATCAGAGCTTTCTGGAAGGATGATTTTGTTAGCCTTGAGTGTACCAAATGAAAGAGGCAGGATATTTGTTCATTTGTCTTAGAGTGAGCGAAGCCTGTGGTAGACAAAAATGCCTGCTTTACCGGAGCGCGGAGAAAAGGGAGCCTTCCGGAGGGCCTCTGGACTGGCATCTCTGTTTCCGGCTCAGGCTAGTAAGTGAGAAGCGCCCCCCGCTTGGCACCAACCTCGGCCGGGCTCCCTTCCAGTTAGATCTCCCTTCTCTTCCACCCTGACAGGAGTGGAAACTGGGGCACGCTGAGCGCTAATCCTGCTGTTACGGAAGCACTCTGACCAAACATGCCCCATGCCATCTTTTAAGACCAGCCACCTTTTATGCCCCATCCCTGAGTTCCGCCAACTCCTGTGCCCCTTGGCCACCCTTCCCCGGCACGCCTGGGCCCCCCCAGTGCCCCCCCTTTTGTTTCCCGTCTAGCCATGCAACTGGGGACAAAATCCTCCCACAAACAATGCTTTGCTTGCTTCAGATCCATGTCTCTTCACACTGCCGGGTCTACTAGCCACCCAGCCCCAGGGCCTTCCTCCAGGGCCGGGCTCTCACCAGCCCCCCCCCCGCCCCCTTCCTGCCCGGGCAGAGCTGAGCGGGGCTGCCAACTGCTTCGCTCAGTTCTTATTCTCTTTGGCACCTCTGAGCTTCTCTACACCTTCCAAACTTGTCATGGTTCATTAGGACTGGCATGTGGCCGGCTGGCTGCCCTCATGAGTGCTCCGAGGCTCCTGGGCTGAGGGAGGGGCAGGCGGGCAGGGCGGGAGGAGGGGCCTCTCAGGCAGGCTTCCAAAGACAGGATCTGCCGGTGCAATGAGAGCCACTCTCGCAAACACCGGTCTACAGCACACGCACACGCACACAAAGTTATGCACCCGCCTGGCTTGAAGGACAGCAAGCACACTGACATTAGCAGACTTCCCTCTGCAGGGAACTCAAACAACATTTGTCAAAGCCCTGGGCTTAAAAGACTAAGATTTCTACCAAGAAAATGACTTAATGCAAATGGAAAATTCTACCAACAATTTTTTCTTTCCTTATCACATTCAGAAAAAGCACAACAAATGCTTAGCTGGTCTTTGTCAGCTATGCTGCCATGGGAGTTGGGGAGTTCATTCTGTGTCTTGTTAATTGCTATTGCATTCCTATCCCTGCTGTTCTGCCTTTGCTGAAACGCTTATCTCTATCTATGTGCAGGAGGAGGTTGTATTGTCTGGAAGTCTCCTATGTACCGTGAGAGACTCCTGGTTCCTAGATTTAGCCGCCTAACGGTTTCCTAACTTGTCCCGCACGCGGGAGAGTATCTAATTGGCCCATGCCATGGGGGGTGTGTGTGTGCATACGAATACCCTATATCCTATTAGGCTCTATGGGATGCCACCATTCTTAACAGTGCCTGTGTTACTGCATCTATAGCTTTGCAAATAAAAGTACAACCGTTCCTGAATGCGTGTGCTTCGTTGCTAGCTGTGGGTTCTGACAGTCTTCAGGAAAAGGTATTATGTGTGAATTGTGTTCGGGTTTTTGAATTTTTTTCTTTTGCACGGCCGATAAAATCTTTCTACTTTTAAGATACCTGAATTCAGCCAGTAAGGAGAAGAATATGACATCAAGTGACTAAGTCTGGAAGATGCAACATGCGGTAATAAGTTGGACTCTGTTGGCTTTATACTTCCTGCAACACCTAAAAACTTCTAAAACTCATCTCCCAAGAGAATACAATGACTGTGACCAGCAAGAGTCTTTGTCTGCAAGAATTTAACATAATTTGAACTTAATCAACTTTATATCTCAGGTAACATTTTACATTTGTCTCCAAACTTAATGCAATGGTGGCTGTTTTCTTAGCTTGCTCCTGAAAAGAGGCTTAATCCCTGCTGGGCAGAGAGGCATCAGGGCCATTTGGGGTTATTTGTGTTTTATGCAGAATACCACTATTTTATGGTTCTCTTGCTTATTTTTTTAAAAAGCTGGGCATCCCTGGATACCAGCATCACTTTTGCATCTAGCGTCTAAGCAGAATGCAATCGCTACAACAGAACTTTTATTCTTGGCAAAGCATCGCATGTTTCCTTTTTATGATTTTTGGGGGGTAACATCCAGCTTGGGGAAGCACTCTGGAGAGCTCAAAAGCTCGCATGCTGTCATGGGGTGACGTGGACTCTGTGCTCTGGGGTTTTGGGAACTTACCCTTGTCCAGGGGCTCCAGTGAGTGAAGAAGTTCCCAGCTCTCCCGGGCCAGCCGAAAGCTCTCCAGGACTTCCACTGCGTTCGGAAGCTCTGCGGCATGGATGGCAACGTGCCTGTTTCGCCCCTTCCCAGAAGGGTCTTCGTCATCAGAGCTCTGCTCAAAAGTCAACATAGTTTCCGTATTAATTGAAAAACTACATTTCAGCAAATGCTCTTTAAAGGTCACTTTGCTGTGGGCAAATGAGCGTGAGGCAGGAAAGCCATCAGTGAGCTACTGGCTCTTTTCTTTGTGGTATCAAATGTTGGTCAGCTAGGAAAAGTGCAAAAGCTTCCACTTTCGGTGGACTTCTTTGTACGAAGGATGCTCCCCCGTCCCGTCCCCCCCCACTCGATAGTCGAGTTCTTTAGGTGGCCCTAATGTTCATGGCCTGACTTGGACGGCCCTGCCCGGCCCGATCATGTCAGCCCTTGGCAGCCCAGCAGGGCCGGCCCCCAGAGTGTTCGCGTGGGGATGAGAGACCCCCCCCCCCAAGAGGAAGGGTTAGGGTCGCTGCGCAGGGGCAGGCAATGGCAAAGCCACCTCTGAATGTCTCTCGCCTGGAAAACCCCTTGAAGGAGCGGCCATAAGCCAGCAGTGACGTGATGGCAAAAAAAGCTTGCAAGTGTAAGCCCCCCTCTCTCCCCCTTTTCTCGCCAGACCTGCACCCAGCGCGACCTCCAGGCCTACGCCTCAGCCACCTGTGGGCCTGGCACAACTCCCGGGCTGCGTGGCCGGCTTTGGGCCCGGTGCAAAGCCCCTGGACCTAGTGCAGAGCCCCGGGCTGTGTAGCCACCGCCACCGCTAGGCCCATCACGGCGCCCCGGGCTGTGTAGCCCCTGCCACCACTGCGGGGCCCAAAGCGGAGCCCCAGGCGCTGCAGTCGCCACCACCTCTGGACCCAGCGCAGCCCCCTGGCACCACTGCCCCCAAAGGCAAGGGCACTCTCTGAGCCCGCACAGCAGAGAAGGCGACTGTCCTTTCTGAGGGATTTAACCCCTTCCCCGGTGTTCTTTTTAAATTTTCAGATGCAGAAAGTTCCAGTTAGCCCCCATGTGGCTCCGGGTGGCTAACAGTATACAGACTATCCATTCTGTCATTCACCGGACATTATTTCTTTCACCCATTAGTTATTTTTGCCCAACAAAGGGTCCCCAAGGCAGCAATTTCAAACATTAAAACAGCATTTAAAATACAAATATATATATAAAATACTTAAAACAATTAAATAAAATATATAAACAGACAGGCACACAAACGGAGGAGAGCTAGTAACAGTCAGTGAGAGAAGCCAAACAAAACAAAAAGATCTCCATCCACTGGCAGACAGATCAATGTCCCTGGGCGAGAGTTCCAGAGCTTTGGCACCACACCCAATTTCTTGGGTTGCCACCCATCTAGTCGCAGACAGGTGGCCTCTGCAGATGACCAGAGTGCTTGGGTAGGTCCATGCGGGAGTAGGCGGTCCTTGAAGTACGGTGGCCCATTCTAGTTCATCCACAAATTAATACTGTCTGAATCTTTGGAATGGGTTGTCATCAATAGGCTGATGGCATGCCTTACATTGAATAAACTTCCAAGAGCAGCCTTCTCCATGTTAAGACCATGTCTGGAAGCTGTGGTCAACTGGCTGCAGGAAGAACATGTGTGTGTTAAGTGCTGTCAAGTTCCTTCCGACTTATGGTGACCCTATGAATGAATGAATGACCTCCAAAATGTCCTCTCATTGACAGCCTTGCCCAGGTCTTGCAGGGCGAGGGGGCCTTTGTGGCTTCCTTGGTGGAGCTGATCCATCCCATGTTGGGTCTCCCTCTTTTCCTGCTGCCTTCAACACTTCCTTTTCCAGGGACTTCTCATCATGTGACCAAAGTACAATGCCCACACATAGTAACAGGGAATATTGTGCAACAATTAAACTTGATCCTGGTCACCAAGAACACCTCCTGACACTTCAGGGTCTTTTCTGGCTCCTTCCTGGCTGCCCTCCCCAGCCTCCATCTCCCTCCGATTTCTGGGCTGCCAGTCTCCCTTTCGGTTGATGATGGAGCCAAGGAATAGAAAACCCTGAACAATTTCAGTTCCTTCATTGTCAACCTTGGAAGTTGTGTAATTCCTCAGTAGTCATCACATTTGTCTTCTTGATGTTCTGCTGTAATCCTGCTTTGGCACTTTCTGCTTTAACCTCTTCAATCAGGAGTTGTTTCAAGTCTTTACTGTTTCTGCCAGTATTGTGGTGTCATCTGCATATCTCAAATTGTGAATGCTCCTTCCACCAGTTTTCACCCCACCTTCATCTAAATCTAGTCCAGCTTTCCTTATGATGTGTTCTGCATACAGATTGAAGGGAGATGAAATGAATCCTTGTTTGACTCCTTTGCCAATATTCTGTCCTAACACTGGACTCTTGTCCAGAGTGTAGGTTGCAAATCAAAACGATCAGATGCTGTGGCACACCCATTTCCTTTAAAACCAACCATAGCTTATCATGATCCACAACATCAAAATTCTGATCCACACCATCAAAATCTATGAAACGCAAGGTAATTTCCCCCCCTGAAATTCTCTTGTATGCTCCAGTAACCAATGTAAATTTGCAATCTGATCTCTAGTGCCTCTTCCTTTTCTGAATCCAGTTTGAACATCTGGTGGCATTTCTCATCCCCACATACGGTAACAGTCTTTGTTGTAAGATCTTGATCACTACTTTAATTGCTGAACCTCAATCCCAGTATGATGGAAGTGACACTGACTGGGAAGACTGGGGTCCTGGAGGAAATCATGCTGCCCATCTTGGACTGACAAGACAGCTGGAGCAGATGAACACCCCAGCCCAGAAGGTTCAATACAAATACAACCAAGGCTTTGGGGGGGGGGACACCCAAGTAAAAGGCCAAAAATATTCCAAACACTCCAGCAGACAAGAACACAGTGGATGGATCGTAAGGGGTCCTTCTCATAATGTATGTTAGACCCTACCGGAAGTCACGGGTTCACAAACTGAGAGGCCTGCTCCAGCCCCAAGGGGGTGGGGGGCCCCACGGCACCTTACCCATTTACTTCTATCAGGCATGATTCATCAATAAAGACGAGAATGCTTGCCCCATGAGCCCTGGAAGAGTCGCGGACAATAAAGGGGGGGCTGCCGGAGGCACTGCAGGTCCCAGTGGTTCTGTTCCTATCTGATCCATCAGAACCAGAAAGTAGCACTGGAGGTTAACTGTTCAAGCACTTGTGCTAAGGGGTTCCAACTTTATTCATTACTTTCATTGTATCCTTTCCCTCAAATGGAGACCCAAAACTGCTTACAAAAAGACTAAAATAAAAATTTAAGAATCTGAAAAGACTACATTTGAGGCAAACAGAACAAACCAAGGCATCCTGGATCCCTTGGGCTGCCTGTGTCACGACAGGGCCAGTGAGGCAAGGCAGAGAGTCCAGTCCAAGAGTCAAGCCGGAGAGAGAGCAAAAGTCCCAATACACAAAGCCAAGCCGTAGTCAGAGCGTTACCGAGAGTCAGAGTGCAGATAGGCCAGTGTCGAAGTCAGGGTGCAGAGCTGAAGATCAAGAGCCAGGGGGTCTTCAAAACGCGGACTGGAGTCAGAAACCAGGAAGTCAGTCAGGAGCCAAATATCAGGAACAGAGTTTGAGGTGCAGAGCTTCTGGTCCGAAGGACGAGTTTGCCAGCATGGTTTGCCAGCAGTCAGCGACCTATTCAAATAGCTCGCTGGGTTGTAAACTCATTAGTGCTTCATTAGCACTGCCTCGCGGAAGTCCTTGATCTGGCTAGAACTCCCGGGTTATTGATCTCCAACCAACGTGCCTCTTTGCATCTGGTTGCCAAGTCCCGGCATCTCCGATCCCTCAGCCGGTCGACAGGTGGCGGAGAATCGGGTGGCGTGCTGCTGGGGCCAGGCACTGCCTGATCGGTTTCAGGTGCAGGCTGTTCTGGAGGTTGGTGCTCATCCTTTCCGGCACTTAGGTTTGACAAAGACTCCCATGCCTCCGATGGTGTTAAAGGCACGGAGTCCTCCGTTTCGAGGGCAGGCATGACAGCCTGGGTGAGGCCTTTTTAGTTATTCGTCTGATTGCTCCCAGCTCAATCAGACAAGTGTGTGGACCTTCTGGACATAAGGGGCTGGAATGTGGCCAATAGACCAAGGGCAGTCCTGGAAAAGGGAGGGGGGGTGCTGGATCACTAAATAGCCGGGGATTGAGTCCTCAGTCTGCCCCAGATTGGGTCCAACACCCTGAAGGACTAAGTCTGCTGCTTGGACCAGAGGTTCCCTAGAGTACCTCTCATCAGCGGTGGCACTTCCTAGGGAGATGGGATTTGGCTGTTACTCATGCGATAATCAGGATCAGATTACTGTAAAAGGTTCTATGTCACGCTGCCTTTGAAGACACTTTCGAAGGTTTGGGTGGTGTCAAATGTCACAGCTAGACTGCCAACTGCTGCTCATTAGAGAGACCACAACTCACCAGTTTTAAAACATCTGCACTGGCTGTCTATTCATTTCCAGGCCCAATCCCAAATGCTGGTATCCCCTTTCATGTCCTCAGTGGCTTGGGACCCAAAAGACCCTCTGCTCCCCTGGATTTCTGGGCCTGCCTGCTGAGCTCTTCTGTGAGGAAAGGCAGCCGGCTACAAGAGGCAGGGCTCTGGGGGCCCAGTCATGAAAAGCCTCCCCTCAACCAGCCACCGGAGGCAGGCGCGGCTGTTCCTTGGTTTGGGCTGAGCTTATGTGGCCAACCAAGAGAGCTTTAATCCTCGTTCTTGGATGCCTGATGATTCTAAGGCAGCGGTTCTCAACCTGTGGGTCGCGACCCCTTTGGGGGTCGAACGACCCTTTCACAGGGGTCGCCTAAGACCATAGGAAAACACAAATTTTCGATGGTCTTAGGATGGTCTCCTCCTCCTCCGCTGAAGAACCGCGGGAGCTTCCCGTGCTGGGTGATGCCGGCGTGGGGAGGCGGCCGTTCCCGGGACACGCACTCAGCCGGCGCCCGCCCGTCACTCCCTCTGCTTCTGGGCGGCCGGCCGGAGCGGGGCAGGCGAGCGGACTGGCAGGCCGGCTCCAACCATCCAGGGGCTTCCGGCCTGGCTCGCCCCTGCTCCCTCTCCGCCGGTGCTGGGCCCAGCCAAGCCAACGTCAGCACTTCCCCAGCTGGCGCCAGGGACGACCCGACTCTCCCGCAATCCGGGGATGCGGCAGCCGCCGCCGCTCTCGCGATCTGCCCTTTTTTTGCTTGAGATCCGTTGGGCTCATTTCCTTTTGGCAAATTCTTTTTCGCTTGCACGAAAGTGGGGTTTGTTGGTTTTGGTGGGGTTTTTTTTAATCTATTTTTTGCTTCCGAAGACGACCGGAAAGAAAGGAAGCCAACAGAAGATCACGCGCAACCCAGATCCCGACAAAGCCTGCTGACTCGGGATTGGACCGGGAATTCTCGCTCCGCCAGGCAGCCAGATCGAGGGAGGTTGAGGGGCCGTGCTGCCCGGCAGGAATGTGCCTAGGACGGGGACGGGGTGTGTGCTGGGGCGGGACGGGGTCTTCTAAAGCAAATCTGAGTTGTGCGCACGTTAGGCCAGTGCCGTCAGCATTGGGTACGGTGGGGGTGCCCTGTGGTAAACCGGGGGTCCCGATCATGCCCTGCTCCCCCGGCCCACAATTTGGGCGAAGAGTTTATTGCAGCCCAAGCAAAGGACCCCACTTGGTGGGAATGGGGTTTAAGTCAGGGGGGCATTCATACCAGTCCCCAGGGGTCCCCCCCCCTTCACTGCCAGAACCCAACTTCTGCCTGGGATGGGTTGCAAGAGACAGACTGTGCACCTTCGGACCTCAGGCAAAAAAAAAGAGCACCCACCACTTTAGAGGGCGCTCCAATTCTGCAACAAGCTGTGAAATGCCACAAAAGACACCTCCCGCCTTTGATGGCATTTCAGCTCTGCCATTCAAGTATTTGTTAACATTTCTCCCTGTCTTTGTACTCAAGAGGTAATTTTATGGTTGGGAGTCACCACAACATGAGGAACTGTATTAAAGGGTCGCAGCATTAGGAAGGTTGAGAACCACTGTTCTAAGGTGTTCTTTACAGATGAGTACTGACGCCCTGGGTTCAGGTTACACTTTCTCTATATATATTGCTCTACTGTTTTATGTTGATTCCACTGTAAACCACCAATGGATAAGCAGGATTGAATTAGTTTAAAAATAAAAATAGAAATATAGCCTTGAAAACTGCCTTGAGAGTCAATGTTGATAGAAAAGATGGGGTAGAAATTATCTAAACAAACAAGCCCATCAGCACAGCAATGCATTTCATACGGGCTACTCGCTACAACTTTAACTGTCTCTGGATAGGAAGGACTAGATTGCTGCAGCCAACTCTGATGGTCATTCCACGGCTTCTTTCCTTTTATTATCTGAAAACTTTTGGAAAATTCAGAATGATCTTTGCATACCAGTAAAAAAGACAAAGTTGAAGACACTCCAATAAACTGCTCACATTTACAGAAACTTCAACGCCAGGGGTCCTTAATAGTACACTGCTGAAACTCACAGAAACTGCAACCAACAAAATCGTGAACAGTACTTTTAAACTCCATATTCCATCCATTCTTGCTCTTTCCACCACTTTGGTCCACAACTATGAACCTGTCAGTATCCCAAACCCCACATAAAACTGCAGCATTTATGCTCATTAAACGCATTACCATGGTTTTCTCTCTTCCCTCAGCAAGTTTCCGCTTTTTGTGTACGTGTTTGCTACGATCAATGTCTGTATCACCATAAACATTGGACACATCCTCCAACAGAACAAGTGGGATTTGGTTTGCAGCATTTGGACCTAGATTTAAAATAAACACACTACTTTAAGCACAATCACAACTATGAGGATCCTGCTGGAATCTGCTTCTAATGCCTAAAACACTCTGGCAAACCACTGCACCGATGCAATAAAGTGAGCAGTGACTCATGAAAGCTCATTCCTTACCACCAATTGTATTAGTCTTTAAGGTGCTACTGGACTCTTCTCCACGGCTACAGACAGACTAACACGGCTGCCCATCTCCAATAAAAACATACATAGCTGTATTGTCCATAGAGATGCGAAGGCCCAATAAAAGGGAGGGGGCAGTGCCCACCCCAAACTGTAAAGTTTCTTCTCCAGAAAAACTGAAAAAACTTCTACAGAACATTTTTGTTCTTTGAAATTAGAGAAATGCTCTTTAAGATACAGTTTTACTTACCCAAAATGTATAGCATGAAAAAAATCCCCCCCACATTTTCCAAAACAAAAATCAGAAAATTTTCAAAAGAACTGAAAAAAACGTCATTTTTGTGAAAGAATTAAAAACTTAAGGCAAACTTAAATTGTGCAGCATTCGATTTTTCTGACTAAAAAAGGGGGAAGTTTTAAAGACCACTGAAAAAACATTTTTGGAAGGGGCTCCTTTCTGCTAAAATAGGATAGGATGTAGCAGAAACCTCATGCTCCCTCACAATGCAGTCAGAAAACCACAGGTTTAGGCCTGGTTTAAATACCAAACCATAGGGTAGGTCTCACTATGCACCCATCAGCATTCCAGAGATCTGCAGGCCAGGAGCTCACGTTACTTCACCACCGACCCAGTTCAAATGGAAATGGAAATCAACCTCATGGAAGGGTTTTTTGGGGAGGGTGGGGTGTTACACAGTTAGTAGCATGTTTACATGAGGCCTTGGAGAAAAACCAGGTTTTCAACTGACCTTGGAAGAGAGAAGGTTGGATGCTGCTGACATACTGGAAGGCATTCTTGAAGAAGACCAGCACGGTGGAATAGATCACTTGTGTCTTGTATTTTGTATGGGCTTCATTATCATAGTTGCCAATGTATCTAGAGACATCTTTCATTTTGAGCAATATGTCGCCAAAGCTTCTGAGGACACAAGAGCATTCTGCTATTACAACCACCTCTAATTCAACGTAAGTACAAACTCTTCTTTAAATCTGGCCCCCTGGAGAGGGGGGGGGGGAGCCACAGTTTATGACTCAAACCATTAATTCAAATGCTTTCCACAATAACATTCACAGCCCCTGAGCCTTCTTCCGTCCCATGAGAGAGGGGCGCATGTCTCTGCAGTCTTGTTTATTTATTGTCTTGACTGTTTTTGCAACCAGAGTCATAAACAGCAAACCCCCATCCCACGATAAACCTCGTTCCACAGGGAAACATGGAAGAATTTAAAGGTTGCTACTGCAAAAGTTGTCACGTGATTTGGCAACAGCCGCTAGAGATTCTGCCACATGCGGAGCAGTTTGTCTTCCTCTCTAAGTTACCAGGATGATTTTGCTTCTGGAGAGAGGAAGTCCTGATCAAATAAAGGGGAGATCAGTTCATCTCCTAGAGCTGAGAATTTGGAATGTCTCTGCAACCACAGCTGGTAAGTCCTGCACTGCCCTTACAACAGGGTGCCCCCCCACCCCCACCCCAGCCAGCCTTCCAGGGCCGGGGCACATCTAGGAAGGAACCAGCATCACAACTCGTACCCGGGCCTAAAGACTGGGG